AAAAAAAAAAAAAAAAAGATGGAGACTTCACATCTTTTATGTTTACCTGGGTGGAGCGGGAACATATTCTTCTTAGTAAGGTATCTCAAGAATGGGGAAAAAAGTATCCAATGTACTTAGTACTACTATGAAATTAATATATAATCACCTACACACTCATATGAATGGCAAAATATAACTATAGTCCAGAAAATAGAAAGGAAGAGGAGAGAGAGGGGAGGGGAAGAGAGAGGGGAGGGGAGGGGCAAAATAGGAGGAGGGAGGGCATTTGGGGGGACCTCACCTAATGTGCATGATGCAATGGTACATTTCAAAACTATTAAGAAATGAGTATAATTGTGATGGATGTGTTAACTTAGTTCAATGTAAGCATTTCACATTGTATATTGAAGCAGTACCCTGAACCCCATAAATGCATCAATGTACAGTTATTATATAATAAAAAAAGAAGCTGCGTGTGTTCGGGAAAGGGTGAGGGCCTCAGCAGAGGGGCTAGAGAGAGAAGAGGCCTCCTTCCCATTGCACGCTGTCCACAGGGTCCCACCATATATGTAAGTTCACTCACAGTGAAGCACCAACCTTAGCATCAGAGCTAAAACTGTAAAACTCCTCAAAGAAAACATAGGCCTAAATCCTCAGGACCCTGGCTCACACAGTGGAGTTGAGATGCAATGCCATCAACACCAGGAATAAAAGAAAAAACAGATGAACTGGAATTGACCAAAATTAAAAACTTCTGGGTTACAAACAATACCATCAAGAAATTTAAAAAGTAGCTGAAAAGACAACCCACAGAATGAGAGAAAGTATCTGCAAATCCCACGTCTGATAAGACACTCTTACCACGCAGCAGTTAAAGGGAAAGTGACCCATTTAAAATGTGGGTGAAGGGTCCACAGAGACATCTTTCCAGAGAGGACCCGCAGGGGGCCTGAGAGCACACGGAAAGGGGCTCAACCCTGAGTCACCAAGAAATGCCAGTCGAGGCACAGTGAGACCAACCTCACTGCCACCGTGGCACCTGGGACCAGGGTCAGACTCCTGCAGGAGCTGGGCCAGAACCTCACATGCTGCCCTGGGATTGTGACGAGGCATAGCCACTCTGGGCCCTCAAATAGTCAAACACAGAGGTGACCCTGACCAGCAATCCCACTCCTGGGTATGTGCCCAGGGAGACAAGGGCGTGTGTCCACACACGCCTGGAGGTGGCAGCTCACAGTGGCATCACCACGGCAGGCAAGTGACAGGAATAGCACAGACACACACGGACTGGTGACCAAGCAAATTCCCACATAGACAGTGGGCATTCTTCAGCCACAAGAAGAAGGAAGGGCTGACACAGACATGTCACACCACATGAAAGCAGGTGGTCACAGAGGGCTGTATGCTGCACAGCTCCATCAGAAGTGTCCAGAGCAGGCAGAGGGGCCAGTGAGCCATGGGGCCGGCAGGGGATAGGAAGGTGGTGGGTGAGCCTAACAGACACACTTTCTGAGGTGATAAAATGTTCTAAAATTAATTGTGTAGATGATCGATTGTTTACTCTAAGAATCCACTAAAAAACATCCTGTGGCATCCCCTAAAAAAGAGAATGGAAAGAGAGGACTTGGGGTCAGTGAGGATAGAGCACTCATGCAGATTTCTGCCCAAAGGGCCCTGGAGCACAGCTAGACTCAGGCCCTGCTCAGCAAAGTCTCACTCCAGCAGCACCCCTCAGGGGCCAGCTGTCCTGCTGTCCCTGGAGGAGCTAGGTCAGGAGCACAGCTACTTGCAGCGGGGCCAGGCCCCAGTGATCACTCTGCACCCTGAGATGGGTACTTGCACAGCCCCCAGCAGGCTCCATGTGTACACTGCAGCAGCCTCCTGACCATCTCCTACTACCCGGGTGCCAGGGATGCCCAGGATGTGAGCAAGTCCAAAGACCTAGCGGCAGGATTTTCTCAGAGTTGGACAAACACCCTAGTAACAGAAATCCTGAGACATTTGCTAACATTGAACAGCTCACACTTTCCCACCTGAGGACTGGAACACCCCTCAGTCCCCGTCACAAAGTGCTCAGGCCCCACGCACACCTCCATTGGGGTCAACAAAGACATCGCGTCAATGGCACAGTGCCCACCCTCTCCCCAAACCACTCCAAGCACACTGAGAGGCATGTGTATCTTGGAAGAGAAGCAAATGCCCCCAATACCCCCAATCTCAGGTGCTGTAGCCCCCTACCTACAAGCACCCCCATTGGCTCCTTAAAGTTGCTGCGTGGTCTTGGGGTGCCACCTGCTTGCTCCCCGCCCCAGGTCAGTGACAAGTGCCACACCCTCCATGCAGGAAAGTGGCAGTCTGGCTCGCTGCCCACGCAGCAAGCATCTCAGGCACCTGCCCAGCAGTACCCAATCATCAAGCTCCCCTCCACAGGGTTCCCTCACAGCGCCCAGGGCCAGCAAAGTGTGGACCTGCAGAACATGGATGGCATTGTGGTAGCAGGTCAGCTCCCCATGGACACTCTTCGAGCTCAAGGCCAGGCGGTGCCACATACGCGCCACATAGTCCTCACTCTCATCCTTGAACTTCTGAAGGTCCATCATGAAATTCTGGCCAAGTTTGGCCTTCACGATGACCATGTGTTTGAAGATCAAGCTAAGGAACAGGGAAAGTGAGAAATCAATGCTTAAACTGAAGGACAAAAATTTAAATACCTGTGATGCATCCACAACTTAATTATCTGTCCTTTTCTTACACACAAAGACGAGCACCAGTCCCACTCCCACCCGCCGTGTGGGGTCCTCATGGGAAATGGGAACGTGAGGAAGCCAGGGAGGAGCTGTGGGCTGTGGGGGCTGCATGAGAGTGTGGTGTGGCAGGGGATGGGGTGCACAGCGGGGGACCACTCACAGGCGGTGAGCCGTACGTGGCAGCACCTGCACAGCCTCGTCCAGCACCCTGAGGCCACCCTCCCAGTCCTCCTGGTCAGCGTGGCTGTGGAAGAGCAGCCCATAGAGAGCTGTGCGGAGTGTAAGGTCGTCCTCAGCCTCTGCAATGGAGGGGGGAGGGGGAGGAAGAGAGGAGGTCTCAGGGGCACCTCTCCTGAAGTCCTTGGGGCCTGACTGACCCCTGCTACTGATTCCCTGTTTCCTCCCGGGACTAAGCCCACCTGTCAGAGTCCTCCTGACCCCAGGCTCAGGCTTGCTGGGAGAACAACTCTGGTTACAGTTTACAGAGACCTGATCATTAACCCCCTCACACCCATCTCATACGTGGGAAAAGGCCAGGGCCGGGGCCTTTCATCTCTTAAGGGACATAGTGACAGGCGAGAGACTGGCCCAGCTCCCAGTCCTGTTTTGTCACAGATGTGCAGCACTGGCTGGAGAGTTTCTGGTCACAGGGGTTCCAGCAGAAACAAGCAAATGTAGCCTCCTACCTGTGCCCAGGCCAGCGCTGTGGCACTCCATGGCCACTCCAGCCCACAGCCCCCGCTGGCCTGGGCACCAGCCCCCAGGAACCAGCCCCTCGTGTCACCTTGCTGGTTTCTGCCACTCACTACCCACTGCTTTCAGCATTTTGCTTTAACAGAAACAGCCCTGAGTTTGTGTGCGCTAAGTAAGGATCAGTAAGAGGGATGCAGAGGTCATCCTAAGACCTGCAGGACGTCGGTCCCAGGAACCTCTCTGAGTGGCCCAGGACATAGCACACAGGTGGTCATAAGACGCACCTTGTAGCAGAACTGGACGGTACACACAGACGGACAGTGTGCCTACCACATGCTGCAGAGCCTCAGTTGGCACTCCACCCTGCCACTGGGACACACACGAGCACAGAGGGTGTCTGTGAGCCAACAGCTCACAGCAGCAGCAACCTGGGGCCCACAGTCCGCTAAAGGACCTTGCTGCATCTCTCCTTCCCCCACCCACCTGCCACAATAACACGTCATGGTGTCTCCACACTGACCCCTAAGGAGCCAGCCGCTCGATGGCTCACTTCTCATTGTACTCTGCTCTAGGGAAGGAGCGCCGGGTTCAAGGAGTGGGTTTCTGCCCCTACACTGGCTAGGACAGCACCTGTGGCCTACTTGGGACTGAGGCCCCCCAACACTCACGCTCTCCCACCCCTGGCACTGGCTAGAGAAGCCATCACCTCTGACACTTGGGGACCAAGTCAGCCCCACAACCTAGCTTCCTCCACATTCGAATGAACTTTCTACCTAGACCCGAGGCAGCTGGAATTTCGACACATGGCCTCCCTCCTCCACCCTGCAGAGCCCAGTGGCCTCCATGCTTCCTGGGTTTGCAGGTCATGTCCTTGGACCACTCGAAGCTTTCCTGGCCTGTTCCTGGAGGCATTTCAGCAGAGACCCTGCATGCAGACCATTCCAGGGGATGCCCACCCTTCCCAAGAGAAAGAGGAATCATCAGCACCTGAGGGTGCGAGGGCTGCAGAGTGCACCTGAGGGGGCAGATCGGTGCAGAGCTGCTGGGGTTACTCGGCACAGCAAGACCCACCCTAAATCATTCAAGTTTCCGTGTGTAGAGAGACTAACTGTCTCTCTACAAAATTTGATGCAAGTATTTTCCCAGTCTATTACTTTTTAAATTTAAAAAAAAGAATTTTTTTTAAATTTTTAATGTTTTTGTATTTATCATTATTCAGAAGGGTTAGATTTTTGTATACATTTGGTTTTTTAGAGACACAGTGTCGCTTCACTGTGAGTGCAATGGTGCCATGGTAGCTCACCACAACCTCAAATTCTGGGCTTAAGTGGTCCTTGTGCCTCAGTCTCCCAAGTAGCTGGTTTACAGGTGTGCACCACCACGCCTGGCCAAATGTTTGTATATTTGAAAGTGTGCTTCTTTCAACAAAATACCTGCTATGTTCAATTCTCCTGACATTTTTTCCCTAGAATTTGAATTTTTACAATCACTTAACCTATCTGGTGTTTATTTTGGAGAATGAAGTAAAGTGTAGCATGACTTTTAGGTTCTCCCCAACACCCAGTGCCTCAGTGCCTCCTCTGCCCTGTCCATCACTCCCTGGGGTCCTGGCTGCTTCTTGCCTCCCAGATGACCGGACCACATCCCTGTCCTTGCAGAAGAGCAAACAGCTACTCAGCTGGGGTGCAGTACTCAGCTAGGTACTTCACCACACAGGCCATACTTGTTCACTATTTCAAATTAACTCTATTTCCATAGCCTTTAAAGAGCTCCCGGATACACATTAGAGCCCTACATGGACAGTAATGATTACTTTTTTCCTACAGACATGGGCGAGGATTTTAAAACGCCATCCTGTCATCCGTGTGTTTGCAGGAGCACAACTGCACTTTTCAGTGGAATGGAAACATGCAATTTGTCAGCCCCTACAACCTGGAGGCAAGACTTTAAGGCACCGTGAAGGTGAAGGTGCCCGCTCCAGACTTGGGCTGTATGTGGCCCCAGACGAGGACCAGAATGCCCTGGCTTTGACTTCTTTGCCTACAGACAGGGAGTTTCTTGGGGTCATGCACGACAAGCTCTCAAAGTGCCCCTCAGCAGTAGCATTACTGTTATGGCGGCTTTACATGAGAGGGCAGAATTTTTTTTTTTTTTTTTTTTTGAGACAGAGCCTCAAGCTGTCCCCCTGGGCAGAGTGCCATGGCATTACAGCTCACAGCAACCTCCAACTCCTGGGCTCAAGCGAGTCTCCTGCCTCTGCCTCCCAAGTAGCTGGGACCACAGGCGCCTGCCACAACGCCCGGCTATTTTTTGGTTGCAGCCATCATTGTTGTTTGGCGGGTCCGGGCTGGGGATTTGCCCCCGCCACCTTAGGTGTACGTGGCTGGCGCCTTAGCCGGTTGAGCTATAGGCGCCGAGCCGAGAGGGCAGAATTTAAAAGCACTAAATGTTTAAATGGCTCTCCAGCCCTTCCCTTTCCTTGTGCCCAGGAGCCCAGGAGCCCAGGAGTATGATTGGTCTTCTTCGTGTCCACCAACCTGGAAGGAAGTAGCCTTCACTGGTCTCGCCGCTCTGCAAGTCTGCAGTGGGCCACTGGTGCAGAAGCAGGGTTTTCCCTTTTTCCTTAGGTTAAACAAAAACAGTACATGCATTTGAAAGCTGCACTTCATCATTCACCATTTGCTTTTCATTTGACTCCATATTGAATTACAGAAATTACCTGTAACTTTTTGAAAAACTAAGTCACAAAAGAATCACATTTCAACTATAAGAACAGGCTTTCCAGCACAAGGTTACTCACACCACAGCACACCCACACCAGGAGGCCACCCCCTGACATAAGGCATAGTTTTTCAGGGGGATAAAAAACACACTAGAAAAGACTTATAGGACGCAGTGAAAGCTACGTGCCAAGGGAAGTTCACAGCTGCAAATGCCACATCTCAAAAGAAGAGTAGTCTGACTTTATGTCTTAAAGAAGTAGAAAAAGAACAATCTAAACCCAAAAGCAAAAGGAAGGGACTAATAAAGATTAGAACAGAGATGAAATAAATAAAAATAAAATACAGAACTGAGAAACAATGGAGAAAATCTATTTGGAAGTTGGTTCTTTAAAAAGATTAATGAAATTGGCAAGCTTCTAGCTAGAGTGATAAAGGAGAAAGGAAGAAGGTTAAATGATGAAAATAAAGTGAGGACATTACTACCAATCTCAGGGAGGGAAAAAGGGTTAAAAGAATATCTTACGAACAATTATACACCAACAAACCAAGTGATCTACAAGAAGCAGACAAATTCCTTGACACACACAAATTAGCTAAACTGATCAAGACTCAGTGGAAAATCTCAACAGATTTATCATGAGTAAAGATATTGAATCAAAACCTCCCAATAAAGAAAATTCCTAGATCAGATGGCTTTGCCTGTGAATCTATCAAACACTTTGATAGGAGTTGGTGGCAATCCTTCTAAAATCTTCAAAAAAGCAAAGGCAGAGAAATACTTCCTAACTCATTCTATGAGGCCAGCATTACTTTGATACCAATCCCGATAAAGATATCACAATAAAAGAAAGTTATAGACCAATATTCCCTATGGATATAGATGAAGACAATCCCCACAAAATACTAGCAAATCACATCCAGCTGTGTATTACTCAGATGACTCAGAAGGATCAGAAATGCAAAAGTGGTCAACAAGAGATGATCAATCAACACAACTCATCAATTAACAGAAAAGGAGAAAAACCACATGAGCATCTTAATTGATGGAGAAAAGGTATTTGAAAAAATCCAACATCCTTTCATAATAAAAACTCTCAGAGAACTAGAAAGAGAGGGGCAATTCCTCAACAAGATGAAGAGTCATCATGAAAACCCACAGCTAATGTCACACCCAACCATGGAAGAGTGAAGCTGCCCCTGCAGTCAGAGCACAGGACACTGCTGCCACCTCCTACTGGAGGTTCTAGCAGAGCTGCTCAAGAGGAAACGGAATTAAAAGATGTCTAAATTAGAAAAGAAGAAGTAAAACTATCTCTAGACAGATGAGATGCTCTTCCATACAGAAAGTCCTGGCTCAGCGCCTGTGGCTCAAGTAGCTAAGGCGCCAGCCACATACACCCAAGGCAGCGGGTTCGAATCCAGCCTGGGCCCACCAAACAACAATGACGGCTGCAACCAAAATATATAGCCGAGGGTGTTGTGGCGGGCGCCTGTGGTCCCAGCTACTTGAGAGGCTGAGGCAGGAGACTCGCTTGAGCCCAGGAGTTGGAGGTTACTGTGAGCTGTGATGCCACAGCACTCTACCCAAGTCCTATGAATCCACAAGAAAGCTATCAGAGGTAAAGAATTTGGGAAGCTGTCAGGTGCAAGATCAACATGCAGTGACCAGTGTGTTTTTATTCATTAGCAGGGAACAATCCAAAAAGGAACTTATCAGCACACTGTGAACTGGATTGTGTCCCTCCCAAATTCATATATTGCAGATTCCAGCCTTAAGCCCTAGTGAGACGGGACCCTTGGGAGATACTGGGGTTAGATGAGTTGAAGGTGGGGCCTTCATGATGGGGTTAGTGCACTTATGAGAAGGGACACCAGAGAGCTTGCTCTGTCCCCATCTGTGTGCCTGGTGTGGACATAGCAAGTGGCTGTCTGCAGGCTGGGAAGAAGCCCTCACCAGAACCCCGCCATGTTGGAACCTTGATCTTGAACTTCTAGCCTCTAGAATCATAAGAAATAAATTTCTGTTGTATAAATAAATACTAGCATATGGTATTTTGTTATGGCAGCCTGAGCTAGGATGGAAAGCATTCCTATTCTAATAGCACCTAAAAGAATTAAATCCTTAGGAATAAATTTAACCAAAGAGGTGAAAAATTTGTACGCTGAAAACTATAAAATGTTGCTGAAATAAATTAAAGACCCAAACATACGAAAATCATCCCATGTTCATGGGCAGGAAGAATTATCACTGTTAAGATGTCAGTACTACCCAAAGTGGTCTAAAGATTTAACACAATCCCTATAAAAATTTCAACAGACTTTTTTAAAAATTAGAAAAACTAATCCTCAAATTTATATAGAATTGGAAGAAACTTCAAGGAGCCAAAACAGTCTTGAAAAAGAAGAATAAAGTTGGAATCCTCACACTTCTTGACTTAGAAACATATTACAAAGCTATGGTAATTAAAACAGCATGACACTGCATAATGATACCTACATAGACTAAGGGGAGAGAATAGAGAGCCTGGAGACAAGTCCAGGTGTGTATAGTCAAGTTATTTTCCACAAGGATACCAACACCACTCAATGGGGAAAGGACAGTCTTTGGCGGGGAAAACTTATATCCACATGCAAAATAATGAAATTGGACCTTTACCTTATACTACCAATAAAAATTAACTCAAAATGCATGAAATATCTAATCTTAAAAGCTAAAGTTATAAAATTATAAGAAGAAAACATTGGAGAAAATCTTCATGAAATCAGATGTGGCAGTGACTTCATGAATAGGACACCAAAACAACACAGGCAATAAAAGAAAAACTGGGTAAGCTGGACTTCATAAAAATTAGGAACTTTTGTGCATCAAAGGACATTGTCAACAGAGTGAAAAGTCAGCCCAGAGAATAGTGGACAATATTTGAAAATCAGATATCTGCTAATATCCAGGGTAATATCCAGAACACATAAAAACTCCCACAACCCAACAACAATGAAAAAAACACCCAATTTAAAAATGGGCAAAGACTTGAGCAGACATTTCTCTACAAAAGATACACAGATGGAATTTAGGCCTTACTGCTGTGACTCAATCTTATCCCGTGTGCCAGTTTAGATGTTTCCACAGCTTTCCCCTCATGTCCTAGTTTCTAATTCAGAATCAGAAACCTCAGGTATCCCAAAGATGCTAAGCAATGGGTTAAGATTAGATGCCATTTAGAAAATCAAATCTGGATAGAGGAGGAACAAGATGGTGGCCTACTGGGCACAGTGAGTCTAGGGAGAGAAGACTCCAGGCATCTCTGGCTGGTGGGCTCTGCCCAGAAACATCCCTTTTGGGACACAGGAAGTCAGCGAGAGACTTCTAGACCCCATGAGGAGGACAAAAGCAGTGGGGAACTCGCAAGTGTTTGTGTATGTTTGTTCAGTCTAATCCCGCCAGGAGCTATAAGTACAGCAGCAGTGAGATCGCAAACTGGAAAGGCCTTACCCGTGAGCTGTTTTGGTTTTTTTGGACTTGCCACTCAGTTGAACTACCTTGGAAGAACCTGGGCAAGAGTGCAGAGGACTTTAAGTGTTGTCTAGGGCCCCAGAATGAACTGCTGAGCCGGACGAAGCTAATAGTGAAAGAAACTGCTGATAAAGTGGAAAATAACCAAAAGGAAATCCAAAAGCAGAATCAAATAAGAGATGAACAATATTAAGAATATAGAAAGGCTATACCAGCTGAAGGAATTGAAGCAGTCAATTATCAAACTTAAAGATGCAATAGAAAGTATCAACAATAGATTAGATCATGCAGAAGAAAGAATCTCAGAGGTAGAGGACAAAGTTCTTGAGATAACTCAGGTAGTTAAAGAGGCAGAAGAGAAGAGAGAGAAAGCAGAACATTCACTGACAGAATTATGGGACTTTATGAAGCATTCAAACATACAAGTTACAGGTATTGCAGAAAGGGAAGAAAAATGCCCCCAGGGGAATGGAAGCCATACTGGAGAATATTATAAATGAAAATTTCCCAAATATCACCAAAGATTCTGACACATTCCTTTCAGAGGGATATCGAACCCTAGGTCGCCTCAACTCTAGCAGAGCTTCTCCAAGACACATTGTGATGAACCTGTCCAAAGTCAAGACAAAAGAAAAGATTCTTCAAGCTGCCAGGAGTAAGTGCCAGTTGACCTACAGGGGCAAACAGGGTGACTGCAGACTTCTCTAATGAAACTTTTCAAGCCAGAAGACAATGGTCATATACTTTTAATCTACTTAAACAAAGAATTCTATATCCTGCTAAGGTAAGCTTTAAAATTGATGGAGAAATCAGATCATTTACTGATATACAAACATTGAAGAAATTCGCCACAAGACCAGCTCTACTGGAAATACTTCAACTTGTTCTACACACTGACCATCACAATGGATCAACAGCAAAGAAAGAACTCAGAAATTAAAGGACAGAACCTAACTTCCACAATGGTGCAAAAGATAAAACTTTAAGCAATGGACTCTCACAAAATAAGATGAATAGAAGACTACCACACTTATCAATTATCTCAACAAATGTTAATGGCTTGAATTCTCCACTGAAGAGACATAGATTGGCTGGCTGGATTAAAAAACAAAAGCCATCCATTTGCTGTCTGCAGGAAACACACTTAACTTCAAAAGATAAATTAAAACTCCGAGTTAAGGGCTGGAAGACAATTTTTCAGGCAAACAGAATTCAGAAGAAAAGAGGAGTTGCAATCTTATTTTTGGACATATGTGGATTTAAAGCAACTAAAGTCAAAAAAGACAAAGATGGTCACTTTATACTGGTCAAGGGAAAAATACAACAAGATGATGTCTCGATTTTAAATATTTATGCATCCAATTTAAATACTCCCAGATTCTTGAAAT